GGCGCGCGGCTCGCCCGCGTGCGGATGTGTATATAGGCGGATGCGGCGCTGCATGGCTCGCCGCGCTGCCGCCCTGTGAGCTGCTGCTGCTGCTGGCACCGCACCGCATCCCTGCAGCGGCGGCGGCGGCTCCGCCTCGCTGCGCGCCATCGGCTCTCGCCGCCGGGAAGCGCGGCTCCATGTGCCGCAGATGGCTGGGGCGCAGCCCGGGGTCCACGCGCTGCAGCTGCAGCCCGTGCGCGTCTCCGACGGCCTCAAGAAGGGCACCAAATTCGTCAAGTGGGACGATGTGAGTCACCCCCCGCCGCCCGGGGCCGTGGGGAAGGGGAGGGCGCAACGGCGGGGCTGCTGCGGACACATGTTGGCAGCCGGCGGCCCGCCACATGTTGCCAGGTGCTGGCGGGGGTGTGCCCGCCGGGAGGAGGCCGGGGCTTGGGCGTGCTGCCAGGATGGGGGAGCCGGTCCTATGAGTGCCCCTGGGGTGGGAGAGGGAGCGGGGAGCGTGGCTTTGATGGGGGAGCAGGGTGAGGTGAGGTGTCTCCTTGCCCTGCATGACCGGCCCTGGTTGTTCAGGCTCTGGACACGGCAACTTTCTCTGCAGAATGAAAACTTTTCTGAACTCCCTTTGTCTTGCCGGTGCCCCTTCCCCTGGCCTGGCTGGGATCCTTCTCTCCCCTGCTCTAACTGCTTGGTTTTCTCCCACCTCTTCTCTGTTACCTTTCACTCCACCAGCCTTTCCAGTCCTTTCCTCTTCCCTTCCCCATCCCCTGTTGTCTCCCGCCATCCTGCCTGCTCAGCTTTTCTTCTGTCTTCTCTCTGCCTGTCACACAGCCCACAAACCGCATCTCCTCCCGAAACCCAGCACTCACTCAGTGCGGCTCCCTGCCTTTGCAAAGGTGCTACGCACTTCATGGCCCCTTTGCCAAGAAATGGTACACTTCCTGACCAAAACCATCCATCTCGCACACTGTTTTCATTTCTGACTTCTCCAAGTCTCTTGTACCCACTTGTTGCTGCCACACCTGTATGCTCCTGTCTTCAGTATGGTCGTTCACACAGGCAGCCTCCTTTCCTCCCTGAAACACCTGTTGCTTCTGCTTCTTTTCAGTTCAGTGCTGCTTCATTATGGAGGTGTCTAGTAGCTTGATGCTGGTCCCAGTAGCTGGGACTTCTTTCATCCCTCACAAACTGTGCCGGGGATCTTTTCAGAAGAAGGCAGCATTCTTCTGCCCATCTTTTGGGCCACCACAGTTAAGGGAGCAATGGAGAAGCAAAGTAGAGGGACAGTTTTCCTGTTAACCCATTCCCATAGTAATTGCTCCTCAAGTGAAGCATCAGGAGTCTGTCTTTCCACACACCGATGCCTCTAAAAGGGCAGGGGTGGGCAGTGAAGTGTATTTGGAGGCATTGCTGGGGTGGAGAAGTATTGGCACACTGCACAGCTGGAATAGAAAGAGAACCGGTGAAGAGAGAACTTGTTTCTGAGAGCTGCTTTTCCACTAGTGTAGCTGTCAAACAGTCTTGCTGTAAAGTTTACACTCCTGGAGACAAGCACAGTAACAGCTAGAGGGCTAGCTGAGAGAGAGTGCTGTCCATGTGTGTGACAGCTCTTCCAGTTCATTTGCTTAGTACTATGTTACCGTTTCTCTCAACATGTCAAGCAATCAAATGTGCGATCCCGACCTTTATAAACCTGTGACAAACACTTATAGTGAGATGCGACACCAAAATTTGGGAAGAAATCTTGAAGCAACGTGGGACATATTTACTAAGCAGTTCCCGTCTACTTAGGTTCATGCCTGTACCTCTAATTTACAGTAATGTACAGTGAGATACCGCCAGCAAACCTGATGTTATCTTTGAGTCTAGAATGAATGAGTTAACTGATAGTTGGACAGAGCTGACAGATGTGGACTCTCTTCTTGCTGATTAGATTTGCCAGACTATAGATCGTGACATTCTTTGCCTTGGTATTGTAATTATGTTTGCGTGCTATTTTGCCAACAAGTACATTAACATGCTGTCAATGTACGTATTGTTTATGGCAACTTAGACTTTGCAGGTAAAGAGTCCAAGCCATTAGGCAAAATACATAATCCAAGTCTAATATTTTTGCCCCCTCAGATATGTAACTGTGATAGGAATGTGGCTCTTTGCAATATGCTTCTGATATTGCTGCTTTGAAAGTTAAGACTGAATTCTTTCCTGTTATGAAAAGCTGGTGGAGTTATGCTTGCAGATACTTCCCTGCTTAATTCTTAGGTTGAAAGCTGTTACTAAAGCATTATGCTGTATTTGTGGATCATTAGAGAAGAAAAGGTGCACTGTATAAAAATGGATTCGTCCTGTAAAATCTGTTTATTTTGCTTATTATATACACTAAAAGAAAACACTTACAATATTAAGCATTATTGTTCTGATAATACAGCATGTCCAAAATCTGGGAAAGGATGTAAATTTTAAATTAAGATAAGCCCTGTAATATCTGGCTCTTGTCCTGTGACCTCATACAGAAGAGTAGATCCCCATGCCCAGTCCCCTGAATCTCACTAGGGTTTTGTGGGAGCAAAAGGGGTGTGTTTATTTAGGATTGGGTCTATATTATGTAAAATTATCAGCTGTTTGACAGCAGACATGGGCATAACAAGGCTAACAACTCTTTATTTCACCATAACTCTTATACTTGAATTAACAGCAGTGTATTTAGCATGTTTCTCTACAACATGTACTTCCAGATGTGGAATTGCCACAGGAATGAAACATTGTGATGGAAGTGAACATATTTTGGCACTCTAGTATGGGAAATTTCATGTGTAAAAATGATCGGTGACATTGCAAAGTATGTACTGGTGAGCCATCAACAGCCAATTTGAAGTTTTTGCCAATTATCTTGTGAATCTGTATTAAGGGACTTGTAAAAATTGGGATTCTTGCCCCGAGCCTTTGTGGTCCATTGTAAGAATAAGAATTCTTCAAGGAAACAATAGGACATGATGATGATGACAAATAATACGTTACAAAACATGTAATAATAAAACATAATTGATCATAACAACTACTTTGGATCTGTTTTGTAAACACAGTGGCTGTGCAGAGAAGCAAAGCTCACATACTAAACTTCCTGATGAAATATTTTATATCGGTTGTTTAGGAAGGTATTTTCAAAAAGCACTTATTCAGATTTTTTTTTTTTTTTTTTTTTTTTT